GGGAGTTAACAAGTTTGGTCTTATTCCGTGCATGGCATGTTGGCCATCTGATCTTAAGGAATAAAGAAAGAAGGAATGCTGTTTAAAGGAATGTTGTCAACATAATGATCACTTCATAAATGTTTTAGACCAGTGATGATCACAAGACCCAGTGTAACTTGCTCTCAAATTTTTTGTGTAATGACCCCCCCTGTGCAACTGAGTTGCACCCTGTGCTTACCCAAGTAACAGAGGAGGAAGTAGAGCAGTAGTTTGCAAATATGGGGCATTGCTTACATATGGGTAACTTTGTTCTGCTCCCCAGCTACTAACAAAAATACTGCTTCTAGGAATCTCAAATCTGAAAACAGATGAGCTGCTTGAATACGACCTTCTAACTATTGGCTGTAGTTGTGGTGGCAACAGATCTCGGAGTTGTGGAGCCCCCTAACTGGCTTAGGTGAAGTGTGGTTCTGTGAAACAGCTAAGCCAATCTAATAGCTCATTAGTGCTCCCCCAGCTTTCCTTGTGCCTGCTTATTGGCCACTTTGTGGAGACATTTGTTGTGCTAAAGCATGAGGAAAATTAACCTGTTGAGGAAGAAGTGGTTAATTTTGTAGCTGAATTACCTTAATGGAAGAGCTGGCACAAGGAATGTGGAGAGTGGCACCACTCCATTTGGATCAGGTTATTTTTTTAAGCTGGTCTGTGCATCATCAAATGGTGCCTTAGTAGCAGGAGCTACTATGGCTGAAGATCATGTTTGTACGTACCAAGGGAGCAAGACCAGGGACCAAACTTACATGGGTAGTAATTGACAGCAAAATACTGCAATGCACTTGCTCAGTTTTCCCTGAGATTTAAATAACAAAGCATCAAAGGGTATTAATATAATAGTGGCAGTAGAGAAGAAACATGAGGTAAAAGTCAAAGTCTTACTTCCAGAGTCCTGCCTGAAGGCTTGATCTCAAAGATATAATGCTCATTAAAATGCAAGGTGATTGTCTTGGAGTTTCTCTCTCAAGTGTTTTTGGGGAAAAGGGGACTACTTAAGATATTGAATTGCTTTCATGCCTTCTTTAAGAGTTTCCTATTCAGCCAGGGCAATATATTCATACAGCAAAATTTCCTTTAAGAACCAGGACAACCTACTGCATACCTCTGCTCCACTGACAATATCTACTAAATATATATATATATTCTGTGCAAGTACTTCTGGATGTCTGCTTCATGTTTACATGCAATTATAATATTTTTGCACTTCTCTTATCAGTTTGGTTATATATTCAACATGCTTGTCTTCTAATGCTCGCAATAAGAAGTTCCTTTATTTCATGGCTGTTCTTCCTCCTTCATTTTCCCATATAGTCCATCGATAATCACTGCGTACTATCTCATGTCTTATCAATTTTGGGAGCTGATAACCTGTCCTTATAAGATCAGTGGTGGATTCACTGAACCTTTTACCTTTTAGAGCTGACTCAACACAATTACTATATCAATGTTCTGATACCTTCTGCAAACAATTTGTTAGGTACTTGGCTAAAGTTTTCTAGAAAGACACCTAAATGAAGTTTGTTAATAATTGATTTACATGCAAAAGAAGTTTGTCTGTGAATACTGCTAATTGAGGTGTGTGTGTTTGTATGGTCAGCTGGCTAGATGTCAGGAGTGATTTAAATGTTTATGCCTCATGTGATCTGAGGTATCTAGGAGTATCATGTGAGGTGTTGTTTGCTTTCTTGTTCCTAATTTTAAACACAAGCCTTTTCTGTGGTGGTCTGTCATTAAGTCTATGAGCTACTTTGAGACATTCTCCTTAGAGAACTGTGGTCAGAGTTTAAAATCAATTTTCTGGAAAACTTGGTTCATTTTGAAGGAAGGCGACTTTACAGAACCAGAAAGATGATTGTTATTTGAGGAAATTATACCAGTAAGAAAAGTTATGATAGCTGATATATATCTAAAGGCATTTGCATTTCAGATAAAAGTAGTAAAAAAAGTACCAACTGATGGCCTCTTTGCCACACAAGCAATAGCTTCCCCCCTTCCCCAGTTATTATGTAGGTACTATCTTTTCCAAATGAAATTTAAAATCCCCCTATTCATGGCTTTTGTTGAATGTTCTTGTCTCTTTGTTTCCTGAGCGGTATTAAGGCAAGTCACTTCCCAGGGTGCAGTTTGCTTATTGTCTTCTCCTGGGAACTGTGAATCTGTCATTAAGACTTAAGGATAGTGATAGGCAGGAGTGTAAGTGTATCCTAAAGCTAGTTATTGTAGTTCCCAGACTTAGAAAAGTCTGTAACCTCTTTTAAACTCTCAAATGACACTTGTAAGTGTGCTTTCCGTAAATTTTAATCAAACAAGAACACATCCCAGAACGAGATCTACTAATTTTGTCAGGGCAGTTGAGACAAAAGAACCAGCAAAGGATACTGTAATACTGGAAGTGAATTGAGCTCATCGATGTATTAGAATGAGTTCTGTTAGGATTACCATCTTTGTGAAAATGCGAATATGCTAGAAGTGATACATCATCACATCTGATGGAAACACTTTTTTCTGCTGAAAATGAAATCTCATTATATTTCCAAATGTTGCAGTTCAGAAGTCAATACATGTATTACACAACTGCAAGTTAGGGAAGCAAGGGTACTGCTTGAGATCTTTTCTTGGACATCCAGTTTTAACTGGTGCTGATGTATTTTGCAGAACTTCACTTGCCAGTTACTTTGTACATTTATGGGGTCAGTCTGCAGGCTTTCAAAAGTAAAAACTATCTATAATGTTCCCAGCAGAAAGGCTTAGAAACTACAGATATTGGTAGATGAGAGGATGAGGAGAAAAATTACTTAAGATTACTCTGCTCACAGATGCTTTCTGTGTATGGTCTGAAAGTAAAGGGAAATGTGCTTTTCTACTGCTTTCAAATTCCATCACAGAAAATTCAGAAAGGTATGTCCTTGTCCTACAGAATTAATCTTCAATGTGATCTTTTTTAACCTGTTACTTATCAAAAAGCCACTAAGTAGTTCTCCAGTCAAAATGTAAATCATTAACACTTAAATTGTGTGGGGTGAGGACTGAAGATCTTGCATGTTTCTTTCTATAAACTGAAAAATAAAAATTTGCATTTTATTCCCTATAGCTTCATCGTGAACTCTCTTCAGCTTGCAGAATATACTTTAGAAAATAAAACACGAGTTGTGATTAGCAGTTTCACTGTTAATATGGAAATGTAAACCTGAAAAAAAAATTTTTTTGTTAATCCCTGCTTTATAAACAAACAGGCATCACACCTGTACATGAGACTTTATTTTTTAACTGCAGTACTGCATCTTGGCACTGGTAGCACTTGCCCCTTATCTTTTGTTTAGAATTAAATAAACTACCGCTTTTCAACTTGTTCCTTGTCATCCTTTGGGTAAAAATGAGTACGTAATGTTTCTCATCTTCTGCTCTGAATTGGACACAGGAGCACAGCCTCTATCCTCAGAAAGCTTGAGGATAAACTATCTTAATCAAATTAAATTTGCCGTTAATCTAAGATCACTCCATTAAGTCCAAGTGAGGCTTTGTACAGTTTCCTGCTTTCAGGACTCTTGTTGATAAATGTATCTTGATTATAATCTTGAACTTCTTCAGTTGTGAGTCTTCCTACTCTGAGCAGGCATGCTTATGATTATTTGAGTGCTGTTTGGAAACCTCAGCAAGTTCTTAAAACTCTGATACTCCAGATGTTTGTCTAAGTTTTTTGAAAGGTATCTTCACTGGAAGAACTTGATTTTTACCCAAGGAAATGAGATTCCAGGGTAGAACAGAATGTCACTCTTCTACTTTGTTTTGCATTGAAACTGAAGACAAAATCAACCTGTTCTGTCCTTGGCAGGTCTGCTGCTGAAACTGGCCAGCCATGAATGATTGATATAAATAGAATTACATTCTGTTCCTTTTCTAATTAATAGCACTGATACAGCACAGGCACGAGACTGTGGAACAAGCTGTTGCCTTATAGTTCTATTAGCAATAACTAAATGGCATTTTGTGAGGTTACAAGACTGAACTTCAATAAACTCTTTCTAGGGTGTGATGCAATACTATAATCTCCCTTACTATGCTTTCCAGTATATCAGAGTCCTTGAAATATGACCTAAGATAAACTGTGGTCAGCTACTGGGTCTTGTAACATTTCACTTAAGACTACAGAAATAGAAACACTAAAAACCTAATGAGAAAGTAGGGGTAGTTAATAGAGAAATCCTAAGGTGTATCTTTTGTGGTGGGGCATAACCTGCAGTGGTTGAAGGTTGTAAGAGTGTGGTTGTCCAGGTCTATATTTAATCTGAAGTTCTGTCCTTTTTCAGTTCTGCAATAAGTGTTTCTCTAAAAGCATATCTGGCTTTCCAGTTAGACTAGGCGTTCCTCTAAAAGATATTATCTTTCTTTAAACCATTGCTAAGTATCAGTGTTCTATAGAACTTAAACTGTTTTGATTAAATAATTTACTGAAGTGGGGGGAAAAAAGCAATGGTATGGATAGGCCTGCATTAAAAAACTTGGAAATTGACAATCAAAACTTACATTGACAAGTAAATAGGATACAGTTATGGACACCCAAAAAAGGTGGGTGTGTGTGTGGAGCTGAAAGGGGTAGGGGGAACCCTTAAGAAGTGCTTAACTCCTAAATTTTTCTAATACAGAGAAACTTTTCAGTTACTGAAGTATCTTTGCCTTTCTGGTTCTTGAGGAAAAAATGATTAAACATAACAATGTAAGAAGTTTCTCTGGAAACTTGCTGCTGAAAATTGTAAGAGCATTTTTTAAGCTTAATTCTAATTTAGAAACAATATTCCTGTCTCCATCTAGTGTTTAAAATAAAGGAAAATAAAATTTCATCAAAGGAATACTGGCATTTAGTATATGCCTTAAGAACAGTGCACTTCAGAGAAGGTGCAAATACAAGACCCTTCCCTCCAACTATTACTGATGTAATGTATCAAAAAAAAAAGTGAACATCAAACATGTTGTTGCATCCAAACCTGAATGGAAAAGATGAAACTATGTATTTGGATTATTATGCTAGCCAACTAAATCTTGTGAAGCAAAAGTGCGGTCAGAGGTGAAGAAGTGAAAATAAAAAACAGAAATGAAGCTGCTTCCACTTTTCAGTTTTTCTTTATGTCAAATTGATAGTTTGCAGACAACTGTTTAAAGAGAACATGTTTAAACTGAGAGAGTTATCTTTAAAGAGAACTGTTTTACAACTGCACATGCAAGTCTATATCCTGAAGAAAAAATTCTTCCAGAAAGATTCAGTTTGCACTTTAAAACACAGATAATTTTGATAACGTCTGAGACCACCTGTTTTTCATACCCAGGGCCTAGCATGACCTGTTCCTATATAGTCTGCTCTTTGAAGTTATGAACTGTTGAGCCAGAATTATTCTACGTGGTGGTTCCTCAGCTAATGATTTTTTTAAATCTAAATATTTGCAGTGGAAAATGTGCATGCAGTACTTTGTTCTCATGTAATATTTTTTTATCCAGTTACAAAACTGAATGGTATCTCTGGATGCAGTGATACTGCATATGAGGTCTACAGTATTAAGATGTGTATATTATAATGTAAAATGTTATACACTTTAATTTTAAGTGTCTCCTTTTTATGTCTTTCAGTTCCGGGGGACTTAGGTAATCAGTTGGAAGCAAAGTTAGATAAGCCATCAGTCGTGCACTATCTCTGCTCTAAGAAGACAGACAGTTATTTTACACTCTGGCTGAATTTAGAATTGCTTCTGCCCATCATCATTGACTGCTGGATTGACAATATCAGGTAAGACCAGAAATGTTGCTCTCTGTAGTTATCTCCTTTCCTTAGACTGACATGCTTTGCACAGAATGGCCGCCTTAAATTTTCTTTCCTAATTCAAGACCAGTGAGAGAAATGACTTGGAATTCTGCTAGGTAGAGTAACAGGATGAATCAGAAGAGTGGCTCTGTTGCATCTGAGGTAGCTGTTCATCACTGATGAAAAGCAGAGGTTCTCTTAGTTTCTTCCACTTTCTCTCCTACCAGTTACCCAGTGTTTGTTAGGGCACTTATCAGACACTTCCGTAGGCTTATCTAAAGCAAAACATTTTCCGCTTTTTTGATGAGTTACTTAAGTTTTGATGAGGCAGGGGGGAAGGAGGTACATTGGGCAGCACTGAGGGGACAGGGAGGAGGAACGTGAGCTTGCACTTTTGCTGGCAGTGTGTTATTAAAGAGCGGTCTCATGGGCAGCTGAGACACATGGGGTCCTTCAAGGGCAGTCTGGAAGTCTCTTTCCAGAATTATTTTGGTTTAAAACATTGCCTAATTTAAAGCTTTCAGACTATTTTATTGTTCAATCAGCTTCATTAATGTTCCTGTAAAAAACATACAAATATCTCTATGAACACAAGAAATATTTAGCTTGTGCAATTAAAAAATATTGTATTGGCATGTTGCTCTTTTATGTGACTTATAGCAAGCTGTTGTGTAGTTGTACCTCTGCTTTAAGTCTTGCTATATGTCTTATAGGTTAGAGAGACTTTTGGTGTGTGAAGATTTGAGTATCAATTCAGATTCTAAGACTCCATCTAGGGGTAAAAACTTGCATTCAGAAATGGCAATTGTATTAATACGGTATTAAAACCAACCCTGACCCAATGCTCCAGATTCTTCATATCTCAAATTGATTTGAAAAGTATCTACAAAACACTCAATACCTCTATGTGTTCCCTGAGGTACCAATTGTTACCAGTCAAGAAATATCAAGTACTCCCTTATGCTGGTATTGGTGTTCTAGTTAAACAGAAGCGAATTATTTTTATCTAGGAGAATTTTTCTGATATCTGATTTTACAGGTATTTTATCTTCTACTGCCACATTCTTATGTTTTTGACAAGTTTTCTCCATTATGGGCTTGATGCAAAGTGAAATGGTATAGAACTATATAAAGTAGCTTATATTCTGAAGTTGAAGTTCAGCCGCAATTCTGTATACTCAGTTTTATAGAGAATATTAAGTCTCAGATTCTGCATGTAAAGCATTAAACTAATTAAAATAATTGTTTGCATTGTGTAACCTCTTAGCCACTGGAGTACTCTTATCATGTCTGCCTTTTTTTTTTTTTTTCTGGGTAATAGCACTTGAAGTTCTTGTTACTGCACTCAGAATGTAAGATCCAATGTAGCTGAGAGTTGTCATGTGGCAATACGACATATTTCATGTTTTTCTCTCTTTTTTCCCCCCAGGCTGGTATATAACCGAACAAGTAAGATCACAGAACCACCAGATGGAGTGGATATCAGAGTCCCAGGTTTTGGGCAGACGTTTTCCTTGGAATTCCTTGACCCAAGTAAAAGGAGTGTTGGTATGTACAAGCTGTGTCTGAAGTGCTTTGTGACTTGTTGGATTTTTCTAGTGTGTATACAACAAGCTACTGAAATGTGATTTCAAATTACAGTTCTGTTTAGAAGTAGAAAAACAGATTTGGTGGTTTGTTGGGGGTTTTTTGGTAGTAGGGTAGCATATGGCTCACTTTGCTTTTAAGTGTTTTCATTGCATTGTATTGTTTTGTCTGTTGTTTGGTCTGATAGATTGAGACAAGAAGATTCCATGTTATTTAGTCTTGTGCCAAATTTAAGTTCTCTGGATGAAACTTGAGTAGGCATTTTGAAGACAGACGCTTTTGGAAAATGAGATGGGTTGAGCAGAAAATTCTGTGACTGAAGCTTGCCAAGCAAAAACAAAATAAAACCACTTCATTTCAGCTTAGTTCTGAGTAAGATGTTCTTTGGCCTTAAGAACGAGTTAATGGGCTTGGGAGATATGGTACCACACTCTGTAGTTCCCTGTCTTTTGTCAGTGTCAGAATTACATTTGTGCTGCAGAAGATTTCTGCATTAATCTGTGTGCAGGTTTTTTTGTTTAGTGTTTTTTGTAGAAGTCATCTCTCAGAAAACACTGACTCCGATAAGCTTTTGTGAGTTCTTAGCTGTGGCTGAAGTAATTTAATAGTCAGTAATGCACTGAGCTTCACATACTTCGTAGCATGGATTTCTTTTTCTTTTTCTCTAGGGACCAATGCCCAAAAGGGCAGTGCTTAATGGTCTTCACTAGATGACTCTTATAACTAGAACAGGGCCATATTTAAAATTGCCTATGTTTACTTCAGGGACTATATGATAAACATTCAAGACTAACAAGTGAGGTTCTGCTCAAAACTTACATATGACTGTGATATTCAATAGGATATTTTGACACTTAATTTTTCAAACTGTTACTACATGCATTTCATTGTGGTAATACTTACATCCTATGTGTCAAAGCTTATAATATGTAACATCTTTCAATATATAGCCCATCTGCAAATGTTTCCCTTCTTTGCTATTAAAGCATTATGTTCAGTCACTTAAGTCTTAGTCCACTACCTGACAGACAGAAAAGTAGTTTTGGGGTAGTTTCCAGAATTTTGCCCTGGGGTACACTGTAAGCATTTGTTTCCAAGAATAAATGTTGGTGAAGTCCAGGCTAACCTTTATGAATGTATTATATACCCTACCTGAAGTTAATTTGCAATCAACAAAAGCTAGGACTCTAATGTAGTAATTCTGAGGGGTATCCTTTACAGTTCAAGAGCGAGACGCATTTCTGCTGAAGAAAATCTCTCTGTTCTGTGTATGCCATGTTTTGCTGCCACACTTGTTTGATAGATCAGCCAACTAGTAAGAAGTTTTAATAAGGTATTCTCTCACTTTTGGGGGACAGCAAGTATAACTCATTTTGTTTAATATGCAGCTTTCCAGACTGTCAAACACTAAGACTACAGTTTTAATGTATATATATATATATGGTATCGGAGAGAATGCCTCCAGAACTTACTATGTTTTGTGATAGTGTCTGACGGCTGCTTCTAATGCTAATCTTTTCACTGTTCTGTTTCTCTCTTATCTAATGTCTACAGGCAGCTACTTTTATATGCTGGTGCAGAGTTTAGTAGATTGGGGCTACAAACGTGATGAAGATGTAAGAGGAGCACCTTATGACTGGCGAAAGGCACCAAGTAAATAACATTGTTACTTGAACAAATTTTATTCTCCCAGCCTGCAAATAATGTTTTGGGTCTCTTCTCCCATCCCACCTGTACAATTATACTTAAAACCTTAATTTTGACTAGTTCTTGGAGCCTGGGTACCCCTGGACCCAGGTGAAAGCCCTGTGGTGTGGTTTCTTTTTTTGCTTTAAACAACTTGCTACTTAAGACTTGCTTAAAAACAAAACAACAACAAAAAACCCACATCACCAAAACACATCCCCACAAAAACACCCACCCCTCCCACTTAATACTGGAATTTCTAAGCTCTGCATTATTAATTCCATAGACAGTTTCAAAAAACCTTTTAAAGAATTGTGTTGAAGTTCAGCATTCACAATTTATAACTGTGTAACCTGTGTATGTTTACTTTAGATGAGAATGGAGACTATTTTGTGGCCCTTCGCAAGATGATAGAGTTAATGTATGAGCAGTATGGAAGTCCTGTTGTCTTAATTGCCCACAGTATGGGTAATATGTACATCCTCTACTTCCTCAACCATCAGACTCAGGATTGGAAAGACAAGTACATAAAGGATTATGTATCATTAGGTGCTCCATGGGGAGGAGTGGCTAAAACTCTCCGTGTGCTGGCTTCAGGTAGGTAATTTGAAGGTTTGCAATGTATTTTGTTAGCAGTGCAAGATACTGACTAGACTCTTAACTGTACGACTGGAGGATGAGAGTTTAAGGTACTATGAAGTTAAACATAACTTTTTCCGTAAGTGATGGCAACTCCTTGATGTTTCAGTCCTTGTGACTAGACTGTCATTCTTTGTTCATGGGAGTGGACTAAGTTGTTGTTGGGTTTTTTTATATCCCTTAACTGGGAGCTGTGTCCCCTCTTGACCTCTCCTAACCTCTTTTCAGCAGATTGTTGTGTCATCTGCTGTTTGGCCTGGTATCTTCCATTTCTGTCACTTCTGCCTCCAGCCTGATTGCTCTCTGTTCAGTATTGCAAAGCTAACAAGGACTCCAGAGCATTCAGTAGTTTCCTTCAATTAAAGATTACACAGCTGCTTGAGGTTAACATTAAGGGAAACTTGCAGATGTGGTGGTGAAGTGGTGCCCACAGCACAAATGCCTGTCAAAAGTTACGACTCTACAGATAATGAAAGTGAATCTTTGAGATCTTGAGTTTAGTGTGCTGGATAAGCCTGAGACTAAAAAAAAATTAATAAAGAAGCATAACATATTTCACTAAGTAACTGCAAATGACTGATGGAAAAAGTTCACTTACCCCATTCATGTGATACCATAATTATTTTTTGTGCTTTGGCATTTAGTTCATGATGTTTCTGCTTGTGTTTTTAGCTTGTTTCTGACTTGTTAGCTTTGGATATCACTGTCGTCTTCCTAAACAAAGCTGACATCAGAAACTGGACTTCATCAAAATGCTGAACACACAGCAAGTGCCAGCCATGCATGGACAGATCAAAGAATACTTTGCTTAGCAAAGGCATTTGATTCTGAATAGCAGTGCACAGCTCAGTTACTAATTAGAAAACTTAAATTGGATGTTTGTATTGAGTTATACTTTATTAAATCTATTGCAGTGGCACTGTAAAAATTGATTTCCCTTTTCCTACAGGCTTCGTCTGACAAGTTTGCATGCTACAGAAATGGCAGGAAGTGAGCCATGTTAATATCACCTTCACAAAATTCCACATGATTATATAAAATTCCACAGTCCCAGATTTCTGTTGGATTAAACTTTTGTGCTTCATATCTTGTTTATCCTCTATAATGCATCTCATCCGAAGTGGCTAGCTATACAAATGCATAATGAATAGTTAAATTTCTCCTAAAATGTAGTCATCTTCTAATCTGTATTTCTGTTGTACTAAACTCTGTGTTTAGAGCAGAAACTTAAGACTCGTGTAGGAAAGTTAAATGGGCAGAACATAATATCAGAATGCACATATTTAGGCTAGTTCTGTCTCAAATATCTGTAGTAAATCACCACCATCAGGCATTAACACTTGGATTACATTAGTCTATTAAAGAGTTTCTAAAATTGATGTTATCAGGGTGTTAGTATGTAAAAGAATAGTTGCTTTAAAGAAAAATACTGTATTGCTGCAGGAAAGACAAGGGAAGCTATGAATGCATTCTTTCTGCTCCCATTCCTGTTTATAATATGGTAATGGCTAGGAACTTCATGTCAAATCCACAGTTGTGTTATCAAAGTGGTAAACAGTACACAGGTGGAATTATTTTCTCTAGATTTTCTGTGATACTCTCTGCTACTTATTCATGTGTTTCGCAGGATCAATACTTACATCATTACAATTCCAGTGCCGATAAAGTGAGGATGTTCTTCCCACTACAGTGAACAAAGACACAAAGTTCATTGTGGTGGTTTGTTTGATTGATTTTTTTCTTTTTTTTTGGTCAGCTTGAGATGCTAGCAGTGTCTTCCTTAGACCTAATATTTTGTTCACTATGTTGTCAGTGCGTGTTGTGCCTGCTGACTTAAGCATGGTCTTGGCCATAGAGTACTTCTGCACTTCAGAGAAAAGTAAAGGATTTGATAAGCATTTTGTAATAGTTCTGTAAGAGAAGGCTGGAATAGTCAGGTTCTGTGTTTGATTATTCTGCTGGAAATAAATTTTGTACACATTCCTCTCATTGTTCAATTCAGAACTCACACTTTCTCTGTTGAAAACTGCCAAGTAGTATTCAGTAGCTTAGTGGTGAGTGTGCACAGTTAAGTATTTACACCACACAGTAATATGAAACACATTTTTCAGGACCTTTGTGATTCTTGCTGTGCTCTTCTGGGTTTCCTTTTTATCTGTTTCAGAGTTATACTAGCAATGTCTCCATATAGTCCTACTGAAGATGGCACTAAAGACTGTGCTTTAGGTCTCCTGGCTGAAGCAATAGTGCCACCTTATGGAATTGAAAAATATACTTTGGTGCTCCTTCAGGAATAGCGGTTTCAGTATTTCAATTTTTATGGTGTGGTTGACCTGCATCACTACATGATGTAACCACCTGGACCTAATAATGGAAAAATCTAATTCAAGGTTCAGCTGACAAAAGAATTAAGGTGTGCCAGCCACTGTGATAATGGAAAATAGGTCTGATCAGACAGTCACAATGAAAATAAACTCAGATCTGTCTCAGGGCTTTTTTTTTTTAAATTTGTTTCTAGTAATCACTGTATCACTGTAGCATTTACTAAGCAGCTTTTAATTTTGTGAGATGCAAGAACAATGGTAAAAATATGAAGAAAGATGCATATAAATTACAACTTAGTCATGTTAGTTTGAGCCATCTTTGGAACAAACTGCTAAGAAAACAATAGAATTGATGTCTACAAAAAAAATTCTTGAAATGTTTTAATCAAACACTAGTTCTGTAATAAGAGTAAGTCTAAATTTGGTAAAATGTAACAATTTTGTGGTTTATTGGGTATCGGATAATTTAAGACCTTTACTGATAATAAGCTCTAGTTCTCTAGATTTATATTATATTAAGAAAATATAATGCCTTGGAAAAGCTTGGCCAGATGAAAACATTTCCCATGTAACTACTATAGTAGTTATCAACTGGTATTTCAAGAATTGTTGGTTTTGCCTGTGTCCCCCCAGCAAAGATGTAGTTTAGGTTACCAGAGTTGCTAGAAAATATTAGTGCTACATTAGAGAGAACCTGTGTTCTGAGCAACACAAGTATTTTAGCAGTCTTGAAATGCTGACTGGAAGGGAAGATGCTGATATTGGCGGTTTTTCCATGGTTCTACCAGAAGCTAACAAGCTCTAACTCTTCTTCTGCCGAAGTACTACACATAGAGACTGAATGGGTTATTGAGTGCAGCATTCTTACTTGATAGCATAAGCAGAGACAATAATACTTGCTTTGCTGCTTCTTCCTTTCATGACAAGTTACCTTTTTAGGTAACTATTAAGTCTGCCATTTTCTTTCAATTGTAGGCATGTTCTGGTAGGTTTCGTTATGAAGGGAGTGCATAAACTGGTAAAACACTAAGCCAAATGGTAAATAAACCATATGGTAATTTTTATAGCTATCCTGAATGAAATACAGCTACTCTCCTTGTTTTGAATATGCAAAACTTTAAGCGTTTTGTTAGGCCTATAAAGTCTCTTCATGAGTTCTTACATGTGTGTGGATAGTAGTATTTATCTGTTCTTTCAGCAAAAACATGACCTAGGTATCAGAATCACTGTAAAACACATTTCCAGAAGAGCATTTAAGACAAAACTTGCAAATGGTATAAATAATGCCTAATAAAAGCTGATTTCTTACTTGGCTAATATAGGAAGTATTTTCTCCTTTAAAAAGGAGCATATTGGAAAGGCAGTAGTGTTCTTAGTTTGTCAATCATTCATTCCTCAACTTGTGTTTAAATTTGTAAGTTATCAGAAGTTATTTGCAGAAGTTAATTATCAAAACAATCATAAATGAGGAAAAACTTCTCAAGTTGTCACTGTAAGCAAAGGGAATAATCTTTTTATTCATGTTATCACAGTGAGTGGTAGTAATTGTTGCTGGTTGAGATTCATGCATTGCTTTGTGTATAATGAAATTCCACTTTTTTTTAAGGTGACAACAATAGAATACCTGTTATCAGTTCACTCAAGATTAGAGATCAGCAGAGATCAGCGGTTTCCACAAATTGGATGCTCCCCTACAACTACACATGGCCTCCAGATAAGGTCTTTGTAAGCACACCTATAGCTAACTACACTCTTCGGGATTACCGAAAATTCTACAGGGACATAAATTTTGAAGATGGCTGGCTCATGAGACAAGACACTGAACCCCTGGTCTACCAGATGACACCACCTGGTGTGCGCATACACTGTCTTTATGGTACTGGCGTGGAAACACCTGATTCCTTCCATTATGACAGTTTTCCTGACAAAGAACCCAAGATTCTTTACAGTGATGGGGACGGTACAGTAAACTTACAGAGTGCCTTGCAATGTCAAAAGTGGGTGGACATGCAAAAACAGGAAGTGGTGATATTTGAGCTTTCAGGAAATGAGCATATTCAAATGCTATCCAATGATACTACTATCTCCTATGTGAAAAAGCTGCTTTTTGATTTGTGATACCTTGTGTTGACAGTTATTTTCCTCACCTGTGATGCCTTCCCTTAAATATGGGAAAATGCCTTTTAATCCCTTGATATTTAGATATTTGAATTATTTATTTTGTGTTTTTTTTTAAGGCTGTGTTCAAGAAGTTGTTTGGTGTCCTAAATGATCCTTTGTCTCCGATTTGTGTTTATGATGCTTCATGGTATTTTCACATTCTGCAAATTTGGTCAAATACGCATTTTGGTGCCTCTGGTGTTGTGTCCAACATTCATACAGACTTTTGTTTGGAGATTGTGCAGCCCCTTGGCACATACTACATAGAATCATAGATACCTGAGTTCCTTTGTGTGGTCTTTGCAGGGTTTGGAGTGGGAGAGCTTGGAAGGATTGCAATTTCAGATGCCCATAAAACAAAGGCATGATACTAATTTGGGAAGCACAGTAAACTTTTTAAAGGGTCTTGCATATTCTGATCCACAGTTCCCAATACCTTAGTTTGTAATTGTGCATATCTACCAGGTAAGATAGGGAAGAGGTCTGCCTGGTACTGTACTGCCTTCGTCATAATCCAGCCTTTTACTGCAGCTTTTGGGGGAAAAAAAGATAGCTGTGTGAATTACTTGAACTTCTTATTAGGTACCTTTTTTTTTTAAAAAAAAAAGAAGAGGAAATTGTTTGCTCATCAAATTCTAGAACCTGATTACATACAGTCTGGAGTCTGAGGAATTCTCACCTTGTGCTTTATTTATCAATGAGGGAAAGAAACTAAACAGTGGTCGGTGCTTGCAATAACCGTAGCTGTGTGGAGCAGCACGTAAATTAAAGCTAATTGAATTGAATACTGGCAAACAATCCATACAGTGCAGAATTGCATTTCTGGGTGAAAAATTATTTCCTGTAGTGGAAATGATAATGGATGGTGGGCACTAATTCAAAAAGAAAAGTTAACTTCCTGAAATGGGGTGGGGAATGGAAGCCAGCATAAGTATGAAGTATAAACCTTGTTCTCAATCAAATACTTAGGCTCTGATCCAGTTACTGACCAAGCAGTGATTGGATCAACACTGCATTCAGCTGAAAAACTTTACATTTTAAGACTAAAATTCATTTCCCATAGACTACAAGTTTCATTATTGCTGTTTCAAGAAGTTGGGATACACTGTTCCTTAAATGTTTCTATAAATTGCTGAATGTGCAACTCTGTTAATTTCCTACAGTATTGTTTTACTCAATGTTTAAAAAAAAAAATTTCAACTCTGAACTCCACAGAAATGACAGCCTAAAGGCCATCATATTTACAACCTTGATTACAGAAGTCCTGTTGAAGAAATAGCTTCACTCAAAGATTCTCTTTTGCTTGCTTTAAAACCAGTCACCCAGTTAGACTGCACTTAGTTTTCTGAAAACACAATTTTGAATGCTTTCAAAATGCTAGGTCCTCCAAGTAAAATGTTTTAAGAGTTTCAGAAACTCATCAGAACTACTGAGGATTCATTACTTAAGAAACTGAAGTTGTCTAAAGGGTAAAGTTTTTAACTGTCTTGGTAGCATGCATAAAATGTTTGCTGCCATTAAACATATCAATAAGACGTGTTGAAATGACAGGCTTGAACTCTTGTTACTGTAGAATGTGAACATTTTGGCAGAGGAGGTAGGTTTAAGGCTTTAAGTTTTAATTCAGAAATGACTTGTAAATCCAGAACAACTTGAACTAGGGTCATGGATAAGCTAAATATCTTCCTAGGTTTTAACTTCCTTATGTAGCTTTATTTTCCCCCTGCATTTTCCCTATTACTTTGGTTGAGGGAGAGTACTCATTTTCCTGATTTTTTTAAAATGGAACATTTATCTTGTCTTCAGTTGCCCAGGAACCTACAGTTCAGCAGCAATATTGCCTAGACTTTTCCAGAGTAAGTACTGAGATGCCCCAAGTAATTTGTAATTGGTAACTGTTGAAGAGAAAAAGGAAAAAAAAAAAACCAAAAACAACAAAACCCCAAAAACAACAAAACCCACAAAGTCCTTTAGTCAAGTGTTCTATTTTATGCAGGGCTGTCAGCTGGATAAGCTTCAGGCTTGTGTTCCAAGACTGCTCAAAGATGATAAAGCTCTTCCTGTGGTCTGACTCAATTTTTGAATAAATTGCTATGTTACTGGTTTACAACAGAAAGAAATTACAGAAAACAGCTTATCACAATCTGTATTTCTTGCTGAAGTAGAATGCCTGTTAATAAGCACTGGAACGAGTGAAGCTGGAGGCTGTATTGCAGGATACCAACATGGGCATCAAGGACTGAAAAAATGAGAAAAGAACATAGGTAAACAGTTCTTAACCTGATCTGGAGAATGTTTCTAAGCTTCATTTAGATCCTTACTCATTAATTGGTGGCATTTCCAGTCTCATACCAAGAGTTTAGCTTCAGGGTTTTTTGTGATCTGAAGTTCCAAAATACATGATTCCAAAAGATGCTTTTTTTTATTCTTTTTTCCTTTACTACTTTTTTAATACTACTTTTTGTGCCCCAAAAGAAAAAAAAAAATCTTTTCTAATTTTGGCAAACTAGTACTGTTTCTGATATCAGTCGACTGTATCTTTTAACCTAAAGATTTGTACATCAGCTTTCCATTAGTAGAGAAGCCCTAGAGTGTGTCTCTTTACATAAACTTGTGTTAGTTAACCTGGTAAAATGAAACTGAAAGTTTTTCAAGGCTTTTTTTTGTTTTGTTTTGATGTTATTTGTCACTGTAAAGCCTTGTTGTGCAAGGATGTGTGTACCTGTACTGTCTTAGAACAAGCATGGTGCTTCTGGTGAGATTTTGATTGGATGTGATGGTTCTGTAGGCTATAGTTCTGTTTTATGTCCAGAAGTTGTGATTTTTCTACCAAATCATCGTCAGCCCCTTCATTTTCAGTTTATTGCATATTAAGATGGAGTTCTCATTGAAAAGTGAATGCAGCAAGTAAACTGTATTATTCTAGTCGTTGAAACTGAACCACTTCACTCAGCATGTTGAAAAGTGCTTACTCGCTACGGCATGTTCCTCTACAAGGCAAGAGTATTTAGCATTGCTGTTACAGGCCTGCTAGAGCCATGTGCACTTGAGCATTCTAGATTCTTGTGGGGTCTGAAGAAATAAATCTTTAAGGAGAAGAGAATGTGGCGCTTCCTTAAGAGGGCTAACTCATGCGCTTTGCCACACTGCACAGTTGAAATGCACAGTTGAAATGTTTGAATTTACTGACATATCTTCGTTATATCTAACACACTGGTCATGTCTCTCTCTTTCCATAATTTTTACTTGGTTTTATTCTTCCAGGGTATTTTCAGAAACCAAAAATAGTCTTGAGGACCAAACGTGTTTCTTATTTTTGACAAAACGTATAGAAAATGCTGAAGAAGCTTTCAGCTGTCATTTTAATACTTCTGAAGAGGTGCAGAGTCACTATGTGATTCTGTTTAAAAACAGAAGGCTTCAATAACTAGCAATAATTGCAAAGGACTTGCAGACCAAAGGAAGGAATGTTTGGTATTAGGGTAGTTCTTGGAGCACAGTGTGTTCAAGGCCCTCTTAAATTCAGGGAATGTTTGGCAATGACTTTGCTGCTCTACACTTCACAGTATTTTGTACAGAACATATTCTGAGACCTAGCATTTTATATGCTCTTTTTGTGTATGAATGCATTCAATAGATTTTGAATATTTTATTGTCAAACTTTGATAACATAATAAAGTTGATCTAATAGTTTGTCTCCTGTTGTGAATAATGTGTTGTCTCACTGCTCAGATGGAATGTCAACTTGTTGCTGTTTTTCTTCCCCGCAGATTCTTGGTGTCTCATTTTCTCACAGTAACTGCTTCTGGCTCATCTTCCAAATGCACCTACTGTCTTGTGGTATATCTGGAGTTCTGTTAATTGTTCTTGAATTTATGGAGTTGTGGGACTGAGATTACTTGATTTCTTTTGTTTGTTGCTTTCTTACTTACCTCGTATGAAAAAAAAAAGTTCTTGGGATGCCTCATGCTTCTGTTCAGGTAATCATTTTGAAATTAGTCCCTCAATCCTGAAGCGTCCTAAATGCTTGCAGTTGCCTTTATACTGTTGGCTTCCAAACTGATCCACAAACCCATGCATGTTGACCATACAGTTCCATGGTTGTATGAAACAGTCTTTTTGCAATTAAAAATAGTGCATTGTGGCTCTGAAGAAACTTTAATGGTAGACAATGATTCTGTAAGGCAAAACCCCCTGGAAATTATCTTCGTTATCAAAGTAATCTAAAAGCCTGTTGGGCAAGCATAAGTCCTCTGGTGGTTGGCAAATGATAGTACATCATAGTACAAATGATTGCTTATAATTCTTGAGAAAGAAGAAAAAATGAGGCTGAAACTTGCCTTGTGGGGATTTTTTTACATGATAAAGACTGTAATACAAGATGAGCGTTAGTGACTGCCGCTCCTCTCTGTGCCGTAGATTCCTATTAATCGGACATCTTGTCCCAATACAGTTCTTGTTCATGCCTTCCTCAAGGTTCATTGACCCTGTATGACTGCAGGAGAAAGGGGAATGTGAACTTCCTCCAGCTCCCTATTAAAATGGGGAAAGTCCTGCACTAAAGCACTGTGCCAATTCTTGGAAGAAGCTGGGAAGGCTAAGAGCACAGGGAAGGGAGGACAGAATGATAATGGGGCCTGGCTAGAGAGGTGCCAAGCCACGTGAAAGACTGGTGTCCTGTGTAATGCTGGAATATTGATATAACACTGGTGCTAGCTCAGGTTGTGCATCTTTCAAATAACAAAGTTATAGTGGCATATTGCCTGATGCTATTTTGTTGTGCTGTCTCAAACGCTTACTTTAATGATGGGATTACAGTTTTGAGAAATTATGTTGACTTTCTCTTTTGCTTAAATTACAGTTTTCCTCCAAAATTCTAGCTTAATAGTTTCCTTTGTTTTAAGACTAATTTACTTTGTGGTCATTCAGATCAACAAATGAGAGTTAAATGGAATGTTTAGTTCCCAAATCAGCATTCTTCAGGCAAAAGCAGAATGTAATGAGCCCAGGAAATCCAAATGCAATGTTTTACTCAAAATATTGATGTTAAGTTTGTCTTAATGGTTTGTCTATATTGATGTTGCTTGCCAACTTCTTGTTCTAAACCATGCAGCATCTGAGCAGAATATCCCAATCCGGAACTCTTTTCCTTCTCATTTAACAGGTGATCACTAATTTTGTGTGAAATAGTTTACCAAGGTACCTTCATTTCAGGTTTTAGGGATTAGTTCTCAAATAGTTGAAGTTTAAGTTATTCCCCCCACCCCAGCAGATTTGGAAGCAATAGTGGTATCATACCAGCACTTCTAGCACTTTTGCAGGTTCTATTCAGTTTGTTACCAGTTAAAGCACATCTTACCACTTACGGTACTGCTTGCACTTTCTCAGCATTTCAAGGTGCCTGATGTGGATCTGTGTCACTCTCAGCTAACAATCATAGAAAATAATCTGTTCTTTCTAGAATGATCTCTGTGGAGTGGAGCAAATTCTTAAGTTCAGCTTTTAAGCAAAGACTGCATAGCATTTTAATGGGGCTGTTAAAGAGCTACTGCTGAAAATCTAGAAAGGAGCAGGTAATTTTAAATGTTGGTGTACTGGAAAGCCATATTATAAGTAAAATATTTCTGCAGCCTTGTAAGTTGTTAGAGTGGCTAGTGAACTAATGAACCTTTGTACTTGTGTTACCTGGATACATAAACACTTGGCTTAATTACAAAATTATTTCTTTTATGTGAAGGAAAGCAAATTCTATGATGCAAAAAAAGTGAGCTGTCTCCTTTTGTAGAAAGAATGTTTAGCATGCAATACAGGAAAAAAAAAGGCTCAGAAGCTGCAAAAAATGGAAAAGTACAGTAAGCTAAAATAAGATGAACAGCAGTAACAAAGTCCCTAATGAAACTTGAAAACTGAATCACTTCAGTAGATTAAAAATATAAATAGAAAATACATTTTGATGCCTTTGACAAAGCAATCCAACTAGAAACTTTCTCTTACCGATTGATGATTCTTCAACAGCCCCATTTATGCAATGACTATTAGTTTCAATGGACTTAATGAATTTGAGGAAGTTGCATGTTACGCACTTTATATATCAGCCTGAGTTTGACTACTGTGACTTGAACAACTTAGAAATCTAGGCTTTTGCGAAACAGGGCCATCTGACAGAGTTAGCTTGCATTTGTGTGTACAGCATTGAGCCTTAACAGTGAAAAGCCCTTGATGGTTTTGCTGGTCTTTGACAACTGAATTAAAAAACCAAACCAAAAACCAAAACCATAAAACATGCCTCCCCAATCCCTCAACAATATCTGACCACATCTTGAATGTCTTTTGATATGTGTTGATAAGAGAACCAAAAATGAGTTATAATTTTCCTATCTGTTACACTTCAACAGCATTCCTATCACATGCACCAAAGACTAGCTGCCTCAGAGGAAAAAGTGTTAAAGCCAGTCACTGTTTCTTAAACCCAGGCTTCAAAACCGCTGTTGAACTGCCCACTCCTGCAATGCAACTGAGATGGCTGAGCCTGTGTGATTGTGCCTAAGAGATCTTTTATTTATGCTAAGCTACTTCCATTTCTCATTCTGCCTTGACTAATACCTTGACAGCAAGCTACTCTTCGACAAACATGAATATGGAGGTAACTAATGCAGAGGATGTCCAAAGACACAAACATTCAAGACAAACAGGTTTTATCTACCCTCTCAAAAGTGGCAAATATGAAAGGTCAGCTGTACCCTCCGAGGGTGTGGATCTGATAGCTATCCAAGACAAAATAAAAAAGAACTATTTTGAACACTAAAGCCAAATCAAAGTAATCCTTGATTTTTGTCTGTAATCAAAGCTTGTGGGGAGAGAGTGTAAGACGTTGCTTCTAGCAATTTTCATAACAGTTGTAATCCTGTCTTTCTGGTAACTTGCTGCATTGCCTTGAGCAGAACTTGACCATCAGTTTTACTTTTTCCTGCTTTCTGTTAATTCCAGGGCTACATTAAATTTAGTCAATGTTTGTACAATGCTTTGGAATATGCTAGTACACTCACTCTTAAAACACTGAAAAATCAAACTACTCTGCCTTTCTTCCCCTAACTTAATGTAATTGTAAAGCTTGCTTACAAATTCTGAATTTGTAACAAAAGAAAATGGGATGTTCTCAGTGGTCAAGGGCGTTTGAGGTCTTTTTGTGTGTTCATTTAAATCTTCTGTTTTAAACATGAGGGCTTAGAAAAGGAATGGATTTTTAATGGGGAGGAATTACTGAAGACTCAGTGACACCATGATCTTGAGGCTGTAACTGCTTCACCAATTTCTCATGGGAAATTTTAGAAAGCTTACATCTACTTTGTCTGGAAATACCTGGGAAGTTTGGAATTCAAACATTGGCAACAGTATCTAAAATTATAGCTTCCCTCCTTGGGATACACTGCAGCTTGGGTTAAAATCCTGTGTGCCAGGGACTCTTTGCCATCAAAATTAGTATTTATTTCCCTTCTGGGAAATAGCCATAGGATTGTAAGCATGTTTTTGTAAAGACGAATGGAACTGTTTCATGGGAACTTTGGCTCTGGCTTTGCGGTACAACTAACAAAGTATCCACCAGAGGGAGGAGAATCTCAACAAACGCTCAGGTGTGGCGGCCTGGCAATGAATGGCAAAGCTTGGTCATGGCAGTGAAAGTGAAAGGGGAAGAAAAACATTCCCTAGCATGATGTCATCAAGGAAAGTTATTTACCTGACCTTAATCCAAAGGTTTATGGCAAATATGTGGCACTGTCTTTCTACTTCAATCTGCCTGCTGTCTGTTAGAAAGGAGGGATGTAGGAGCATGCAGAACGCTTTGTAAATATTGGAGGAACTAAGTTAAGTCTGAAGTGCCTCATGTCCTGCAGAAATCTCTTTCCTATACTGAAACAAAACATCAGTTCCTGGGGAACTGAATTAAGAGGATTAACACCTAGTTTGTTCTGATGCCATTTATTCCAAGCCGTATCCTGGATGTGAGCCACGTTCAAAAATACGAAAACCTCAGTTCTTGGGAAAGAAGTACGTTTGTGTAGACTTAATGTCTTTTGTACTGGTAGACACCTTCAGCAGTCAGTAGCATTAGAGATTTGTGAACCTTGGATAATCCAAAGGCATTAATATCAGTTATGTGTTTCACATCTCCTATAGGTTTTGGGTTTTTTTCAACTTGTATTTGAGCAGCTAGAACTGACTGGAGGATGCTTTTAATTCTACAATGATGGTGATGCTCTATTTTTCTTATGTAGTTGGGGGATGAAAGATGGGAGACTTACTTAATGAATACAACTATACAAGTACTTGGGTTTTTTTGGTTCTCCTGGTTCAGACACATTGCGATTTTTTTTCACCAAAATTTTGAATACTTTTTGTTTTATAGCTTTGCTGTGCAGGTGGGCTCGTTGAATGATGACAGGAATGATCCTCATAAACCTGACAAGAACTGTGACTTTGTATGATTTGAGTTGACATAATGCATACTTTTATGATCTATATTAAAAATGCAGTAGAGGGCAGTAGTATGTAAGTTACAGAGGGTTTTTTTGGTAATGTTGAATGGCATCTGTGTTAATGTCACCTGAGAAATCCAGGATTACAGGGAAATGAAGACCTAAGTTTGATATCCACAAAATGTTTCCTGTCCTGAAGCAATTGTCCATATGCAG